GGACAAAAAGGTTTTGTGTGTGTGTTATAATTGTGATTTTATAATATTTAGATATGAATACAACTGGAAAAAAAAAAAACTTGTGAAAAGATATGTAGTTTGATAATTTAAAATGATCCATGTTATCCCCATAAATGAAAGTTAGAAATCTGTGTCTTTTATAAAGTAAATTTGACATAAACTGCTGTTTTTTTTGTAAAAAAAAAAAGCCTATTTAAATAAATAAATATTTATTTATAGAAATTTAAAACATATCAAAAAATCCTCCAAAAACTGCATAAATGTTGAGTAAAAACATTAATAAACAGACTAAAATTACATCTGTAAAAAAATATATGTATATATATTATTCTGTTAGTGTAAATGTTATTGTGAATATAATGAGTGTAGACAGAAATGAAGATAATCAGAGGGTTAAAATATGTCCAAGAGTTTTACACATCAGTCTGTAATTGTAGTAACATAAACGCTATATTTTCACGCCCCTAAAAATGACGGGAACAAAAAATTGAACTGTGATTGGTTGCTGATGCTTTATGCAGCATTAACACATACTCACACATCACTGAAGAGCATGATCAACAAATTCAACAAAAAGTAATACATAGCAATAGAAATAAAATAGAAAAATGTTTCTCTTTACATTTGTGAAAACTGAAATGTAAATTGCTACGTTACCTTACATTGGATATATATATATATATATATATATATATATATATATATATATATATTTCAATCTAATAATGTTATTCATTAATTAAATATATATTATATACACAATATATGTGAACATTGAACAGATTCACACTAAATGGCTGTCTTTTGTTCACTAAATGAACATGAGTAAGATATTACATAATCTAAATATATATCAGTCCCTCCAGAAAAACGCGATTATGCGATCACTGAATTCAATGCAAAATCAGCCAAAGTCCGCATATTTATGCGGGGGGCGCATTTTTTCAAATACGCCGCACTTTCGCCGCATAAATTGCCGATTTCCGTGCAAAATATGTGGGGTTTGCATAATTTCATAATCCTCGCATTTTCGTTGCAAAAAAAGTCAAATGTATCTTAGCAGAAAGTTGAAAAATGTTGCGTTTGCTTCACACAAGAGCAGCCATTTCCCCCTGTTTCCATGGGGACGTTATGAAGTGACGCAATTACGCGACGCCAGACAGACTCACGGAGGCGATTGACATCTCACAAATCGAACTCGTATAACTGTCTGTCACACGTTCTACCGTCTACCGTTACTTAATAAACAACAATATAAAAGAAGTAGCATCAAACAGAAATTACCCGCACACATGGGGTGTTTGAGGCGCACATATAACACTGCAGAGAGTTCAACAGGGAGCGCGCAGCTCTTAAAGGGGCCACACCTTATTTACACTCGTTACAGTCTGAAAATGAGAAGATGAGAAATTAAATATTCCCAGCACTTTCTATGATGTAGTATGCTTGCTTATCAAAGGAATTAATAAGAAATGACTCTTACATTAGCCTAGTGAGAACAGGATGTTGGGGGAATAACTTTTTTTCTCTTTTTTATCAAACCGCAATTTTTGCAAGTTCCCTCAATTTTTGCAAATTCCTGCAATTTCATCCCATAAAATTGCATAAATATCCCGCATATTCTTTCCATCGCATTTTTAAAGAAAACGGGCCACGTAATCAAGGATTTTTGCCTGCAACAATCACAAAAAAACTCAGTGTTTTTCTGGAAGGACTGAATACTATTATGGTAAATGTTATATATAAATCGCAAATTTTTTCACAAATTTTTGGAAATTACCACCACAAAATCAGTCATTTTGATCGCAAAAATCACAAAAAAAAATCGTGAAATCCTGGAGGGACTGATATATACAGTATATATATATATATAGTTAGTTACTTAGTTTGATTGTACTTGCACCAGTGCACCATTACATAATAAACATAATTCACCAACATACAGTATGTTTTTACAAAAAAAATGTCATTATATGTAAAAATGCCACGAGACTAGAATCTTTTTGTGTGATGCTGCAAACAAAAACACAGAATAAGAGTTTTGAACTGACCGTGATTCATCAGATGATGGCTCTAAATCTCTAAACGCTAACTTCAATACTGTTTTTACAGAAGTCTAAATCATAATGTGTCCTACCACAACAAGAAAAGGTAGCAAAAGGAGTCAGGAAACGCATTAGAGAAATAAAGATAGAACCCATCATTTCAGATCGCAAAGAAAGAGTAAATGATGGTGTGGCACAACGCCAAGAACGCACAACAAAAGTAGTGCCGGTAACTGCCCTCAACTCTACAGTGATTTCAGTCAGGGGCAGCGAAGGGCAACTCACACACCATTTCCCTTCATCAAAGCCTTGACTCACCCTTCACCCCATTACCTGGGAACGTTTCGTCAGTCAAACGCTCCTCTTGCTGCCACCTGTTATTAATTACCACGCTCTACAGCCCAACGCAGGCGCGATTTACTCTGCTTACAGCAACACAATGTGTTTGCTAATCTTAGAATCTCTTCGCTTAAAAATATGTGCAGTAAATGAGGTGGCTTTATCTTTCAAACGTCAGCCCCGGAGACTTAAAAGGGAAAGTTCACCCAAAAATGAAAATTAGCCCATGATTTACTCTCCCTGAAGCCATCCTAGGTGTATATGACATTGTTCGTTCAGACGAGCACAAACAGAGTTATATAATGTTTGAGCTTGAGTTTGTTGCCCCGCCCTGTGTGTTTGAACCGCGAGCGGCGTCTAAGCTTACGCTACTCCTACATCTGTGTCATACATCATCAAGTGTTTCTCTTGTAGCGTAAGTTGACTTGCGTACGGTCGTCTGCCGGAAGCTAGTTATTTTAGTCAATAAAGTTTTAAATATGAATATTTTTAGATGCACTTATTTGATGGATAGACACACTTTTATGATGGACAGATGCACTTTTATGATGGAGAGATGCACTTTAATAATGGATAGATGCACTTTTATGATGGATAGATGCACTTTTATGATAGATAGATGCACTTTTATGATGCATAGATGCACTTTAATGATGGACAGATGCACTTTTATGATGGACAGATGCACTTTTATGATGGAGAGATGCACTTTAATAATGGATAGATGCACTTTTATGATGGATAGATGCACTTTTATGATAGATAGATAGATGCACTTTTATGATGCATAGATGCACTTTAATGATGGATAGATGCACTTTTATGATGGATAGATGCACTTTTATGATGGTCATATGCACTTTTATGATGGACAGATGCACTTTTATGATGGATAGATGCACTTTTATGATGGATAGATGCACTTTTATGATGGAGAGATGCACTTTAATGATGATAGATGCACTTTATGATGGATAGATGCACTTTTATGATGCATAGATGCACTTTTATGATGGATAGATGCACTTTTATGATGGATAGATGCACTTTTATGATGGTCATATGCACTTTATAATGGATAGATGCACTTTTATGGTGGACAGATGCACTTTTATGATGGATAGATGCACTTTTATGATGGATAGACACTTTTATGATGGTCATATGCACTTTTATGATGGATAGATGCACTTTGTCATGGATAGATGCACTTTGTCATGGATAGATGCACTTTTATGATGGATAAAGGCACTTTTATGATGGATAGATACACTTTAATGATGGATAGATGCACTTTTATGATGGATAGACACTTTTATGATGGTCATATGCACTTTTATGATGGATAGATGCAATTTTATGGTGGATAGACACACTTTTATGATGGTCATATCCACTTTTATGAAGGATAGATGCACTTTTATGATGGATAGACACACTTTTATGATGGTCACATGCACATTTATGATGGATAGATGCACTTTTATCATGCATAGATGCACTTTTAACATGGATGGAAGCACTTTTTTGATGGACAGACTTACTTTTATGATGGATAGATACAGTTTTATCAGGGATAGATGCACTTTTATGATGGATAGACACTTTTATGATGGTCAGATGCACTTTTATGATGGATGTATTTTTATGATGGATGGATGCAGTTTTATGATGGATAGATGTATTTTTATGATGATAGACGCATTTTTATGATGGATAGATGCACTTTTATGATGGATAAATGTATTTTTATGATGGATAGACACTTTTATGCTGGTCAGATGCACTTTTATGATGGATAGATGCACTTTAATGATGGATAGACACACTTTTATGATGGTCATATGCACTTTTATGATGGATAGATGCACTTTTATGGTGGACAGATGCACTTTTATGATGGATAGATGCAGTTTTATCTCGAGTGGATGCGCTTTGATGGACTTCAAAACAGCCATTCATTTCCATTATACAGCTTTGAAGAGCCAGGACATTATTTAATATAACTACACACTTATGATGCTGTTTGACTGAAGTTGACCTAATTGAGCACTGCTCTTCCCAGAGGACATGTGATTACAGCAGGTCACGCTCACTATATTCAACAATACCAGTCAACTGACATCAAAGAGAAGCTTGTTCTATGGGATTTTCAGCTTAAACCCACATACAGCGGAAAACTGTCATCACAAACAGGGTTTGTAAAGCTCTCAGGAGAAGTCGGTGTCCCTAAACAAACGCAACTTGGTAAGGTGTGTGCAAGCTGTCATCCTGCATCGCTTTCTTGAGTTTATTAAAAGCAACCAGCCATCATACAGCATTTACTTAAGAAGTGGAAACGTGTGGCGGATGACAAATCTCGACAAGACAGCAGCACTGAAGAAAAAGTCACTGGTTAAGTGAAAATCCTGTCATCATTTAATCATGTCGTCCCAAACCCGTAGGGATGTCTGTGATTTTGTGAAGAAATTAAGACGTTTAGCAGAATTATGCCGTTCTTTTCCATTCATTTTTAGTTGAACTATAGGGGACTGGACCAGTTTGAAGGCATTTACAGCACATTACAAGCATTTTGAGAGAAGATCAAGTTCCTACCTCCTTATCGGCTTTCACTGGGGAGGCCTCGTCACAAAGAGTGCTGTTTCTACCACGACTCGATTTGTAGATCTATTAATATAAAAGACAAAGGCAAAAAAATGAGCAAATACGGAAAAACCTGAGATGTCAAAAGTAGGGATGTACAAACCCAATTCCATAAAAGTTGGGACACTGTACAAATTGTGAATAAAAACAGAATGCAATGATGTGGAAGTTTCAAATTTCAATATTATATTTAGAATACAACATAGATGACATATCAAATGTTTAAACTGAGAAAATGCATAATTTTAAGGGAAAAATAAGTCTGAATCTTTGGATGATATTATGCACTGTAGATGATGATAACTTCAAACTCTTTGCAATTTTTCTCTGAGAAACTCCTTTCTGATATTGCTCCACTATTTTTTGCCTCAGCATTGGGGGAATTGGTGATCCTCTGCCCATCTTGACTTCTGAGAGACACTGCCACTCTGAGAGGCTCTTTTTATACCCAATCATGTTGCCAATTGACCTAATAAGTTGCAAATTGGTCCTCCAGCTGTTCCTTATATGTACATTTAACTTTTCTGGCCTCTTATTGCTACCTGTCCCAACTTTTTTGGAATTTGTAGCTCTCATGAAATCCAAAAGGAGCCAATATTTGGCATGGCAATTCAAAATGTCTCACTTTCAACATTTGATATGTAATCTATGTTGTATTCTAAATATAATATTGAAATTTGAAACTTCCACATCATTGCATTCTGTTTTTATTCACAATTTGTACAGTGTCCCAACTTTTATGGAATTGGGTTTGTACAAAATATCGGACACCATGTCGGTATCGGCCGATATACGCTCATTTTTAATGTTTTAAAATGTAGCCGATATATTAAAGCCGATAATTAATGTGTTATTTCCTTCAGCTGATGCGCACTGTTCAACATGATGGTTTGCTTGAAATATGATTGGAATCACATTGAAAAAGGAAAATACAGTAAAGTGCAACATGTGCACTATATAATACATAATGAGAACATTATAATTGTGTGTTTAGGACATGGATTTTAATGGTGAGACTTTTGTTTTTGCAATTAGGTTACAAATTATAAACATATGGAGTTAGATTTATCGGCCAATGTATCGGTTATCGGCTTTCAAATATAAAGATTATCGGTTAAAATTTTCATATCGGTGCATCCCAAGTCAAAAGGACTGTCGATACCAAAATGATTAAGAAAAAAAGTTGCAATAACAATTCTACAGTATTGGCAGAACCAAATATTACAATGAAGAACTCGAGAAAGATTACCCTTTCTGATCACTTTTTCATTAAGTTTTTTTTAGTGACTACATGCATGAATTTTAGCCTTTTTATTTCAATGGCCATGTATGCTTTGAGCTGGCCAATGTATTTGCGTTTTTTGTTGTACACAATATTTTAGATTTACTTTCAACTGCTGTTAGATTGCTTTAAAAACTTCCAAGCATTGATTACTTAATGTGTATCTTCTGTATATATATATTTATTTGTTCTTTGTTTCCTTGAACAAGTCATGCTTTAATTGAAATGATTTTAACTGTAAATGTGTGGATATCAGTGTTGTTTCACTTACTGGAGACAGAGGGACAGGGTTCTCACGTAGATATCTGGGGTTTTCTATCTGTAAAAATAAAACAATACAACAAAACTTTACTCTCCTCATCTTTTGCTAAGTCCCAAAGATCTTCCGTCCACCTCTGACCTCATTGTATTTGTCATAAGCAGTGTGGAATGACTTCAAAGAGTGGCATTAAGTACAGTCTCTTCCTTACACTGGCTGTGTTTACCGAAATCAGACCTCGAGCCCACTGAGGCATTGTGTGAAGAGAGGCCTTTCCGGTTCTTTTTAAAAACTCTTCTTCCCACCACTGAGGTTGTCTTTTGTCACCATAACCCATTATCTGTAAGCAATAAGAGTCTGTCCTCTTTGATTGGACCGTAGAAGACGACTGAAACATTTCATTTCAATTCAGTGAAATCCAACTTGAACTGAATTTGAGCGGCAATTTCCTTACTGTTTGTTTCATTCATCTTTTGTCATTTGAGGGAAAGAAAAAAATGCAAACGCTGTGTAAAAAGTAAACTTTGTGTTTTCTTAAACAACATTTTTTTGACCTGGAACCCTTCAATTTGTGAATGTGTACAATTTAAGCCCCTGTTACGTGTAATTCTGGGTATTGGAAGACATTCATTTTGTGTATCGTTGGTTTGACTGAAATGTATTGCATAAATATATGTTTTTTTTTACTTGACAAGTTTTGACTTGTCTGACGCCCAAACAATTTAATTAAATTAACATTATTAATTAATCAAATGTGATTTGGGACAGCCACCGTTACAGTTCATAATGAAGCCAATAGTTTGATTCAAATCAAAAAGTAATCAAAATATCTGGCTCATATTAAAGTTTTATCCCCCTCTTCACCCAAAGTTAGACCCAAAGTTCTTGTATACCACATTCTAAAACCCAAATGACACAAATCACAGGGAAAAAAAAAAAAGTCCTAGTCATAATTGCAGCAAACATCCACACGAAGTTCAATGCAGCTCTTCTCAGCTTCTTTTAAATATTTTATTTAGTGACTATCCTTAAATGTTGGTGCGTCAAACCCCAAATCTATTTGTTTATTTTATCATTATTTTATTTTAATTGGCACCAAAGATTGGCATTTTGCACATTCTTATTCTTTTGCCTTAGAATTTATTTCAAATGTAATGATCAAGATCCCCTCTAAAAGTCCCACTTTTAAGGTCATTTTATAATGGGAAGGGTTCGAGTCTCGTAAATATAGTTAAGAATACTGTAAAAGAGTCCATTGGTTACAAAGCCAGGGCTAGTAAAAATGGCTGTTGGGAAAAGCCTACTTTATTTACGTGTTTGGAGAAATGGACAGATGTAACATAAGCATAACAAATAATAAAAACAAAACTTATAGTATTTCACAGCAATTAGGGGCCGGTGCCTATTAGGGGCCTCAAGCAGTTGGTTGGTATATGACCTAACAAACCATGTTTCAAACCATGCGCAGGTTGGGAAGGGTTACTTCAGTTACAAATTACTTCATAAAAAAAGTATTCAGTAACGTAATCCAAGTACCAGAATATGAAAGTAATGTAACTGATTACTTTTGGATTACTTCAAGGACAGATATTCTAAAAAAAAAAAAAAACAAAAAACAAAAAACGTTTAATTATTAAGAATTTCACGTCCGTGAAATATATTTATTTAAAGGGCTATAGAGACATCTAGTGGCTACAGTATGGTTTTACAGATTATTATGTATTATGTAGGCTAGTAAAAACACAACATTTAAAAATTCTACACAATCTACATATTAGTTTAATTTTAAAATAGGAAATACACTGTTGACTAATGCCGTGATCTTTCTTGATTTGCCTGACTGAAATTGGGCTGTTGAAAGTAGGAGTTCCCTTGCGTTAGCGGTGAACATCTCCTTAAGTGAGACTGAGAACGAAGAGAATAGGAAATTTTAGGTACTAAAAAGCTACTTTCTTAATTTTTACAGATTCCAGCATCGCTAGAAAACTTTCAACTGCGATCATACAAACCACAGAATTTTAAAGCAGTAATAAACGCTACATATTAGGCTAACAACAAGGCACAGGAAGCACTGTAAAACAATGTTGTTGGAATTTCCCTCTTTAAAAAGCAGCATCGTTTCTAGCAGCAGTGATTCAATCGGTGTCTGAGGAGATTGTTGTCGAGAACTGTTATTTTACGCAGCCACCAGCAGGTGGCACACGTGACTCGTGTCGCGCGAGTCATTAATATAGTGTTATTATGCCAAAATACATATTTACTTAGTTTTAAATGAAACCATCGTAATCCTGAAAGTATCCCCCCCTTTTTCAAAAAGTAACTATAATGTAATCTGATTACTACGTTTTTTGATGTAACTGCAACGAATTACAGTTACTGGATTTTTGTATCCTGATGACATAACGCCGTTACATGTATTCCGTTACTCCCCAACCCTGGCCATGTGTAAAGAGGATCGGGTGTTTAGTTTTAAAAAGTGTCAAATATAAGTAAGGCGCGACTTATGAAGAATGTGATGGTGTGTTCTGGCTCAACCAAAGATTGGGGAAGTGTCTGGTAAACATGTTTTGCAACTCCATTTTGTTGAGATTAGCAGCAACAGAATTTACACACTGGACACTTATGAATGTTAAGTTTCCCTAATATGACCCAGTCAGGAGTGTTAAATAAGTGCTCAAACACAGCATGAGTGTGATGTGGCTTTAGGCCCGTATCTATCAAGCTTCTCAAAGTGCTATTTCAGTCTTAAGTGCTGAGAGTTCATGAAACTTACTCCTGCGCGCTGTGTGAAAGGGGCTTTAGAGTGTAGGAATTGCCAGTGATTGTGATGCACTGAGGAGAGTCTTTCAGGAGAGGAAGAATGTTTTTGAAAATGTTTGACGACGACCACTTAATCAAACGGTATCATTTGGACAGAACATAATCTTTCAACACCAGAACTTTCATCATCTTTCTTAGCGCTGGTTAATGTTGGGCTGAACCTTTTATAACATGTTTCTGCTGTTCGATGTTATGTATATGAAATTGCATTTCTGTCAACAGATCCTCCTAAATATCACACAATGCACCTTTAAGTCAATTCTTGTGAGTAATTCTCAGAGGCTTGATAAATACGGGCCCTGAACTCCTTAGGAATCTTCCGGCCACAGCACTGGACGGCGGGAGTGTGTTATCGCATCGGTTTCCAGTGCTACGCTTCACGTCCACACATGATGCACGTGTCGATTAGTCCAGCATCAGTGCCCACAGAAAGCAGGGGCCCGGAGCCAGCAGTGCACACTACACTCTCTGATAAAAGCAGAGTTCAGACTCATGTTTTTCTGCATAAACTTTATGATGAAACAAGGTTTCGCAATTTGCTGGGAAGTCAGAAGTGGCTATTGAGGAAATCTGGAGGCCAACACAGTCCTATAAAGCTTCAAACGCTTTGAACCCGAGAACTCAGCATGCCAACGTGTTGAGCAATCGCTGCAGCACATTTTTCCTCCCACATGGTGTAGTCATCCATGGCAAGACATGCTATGCTTTCTCTTTTTTGTTTAATTTGAAGCTTTAACTAAGAACTCAAACTCAGGATTTGCCAAAAATTAACTATGTTTTTTTTTTTTTTCGTAATCTGAAATGTGCTGCGTAGTGTTGTCACGATAATACAATTTCTATTTTTGATAAGATACCTTAAAGTCCCCCTGTGGTGAAAATCTAGTTGTTTATGTGTCTATATGGTGTTTTGAATATGCTTTTAGACAAATCATGTGTAAGTTCATAAGTCGACAACATTGCTGAGTATTTTCTCCTTAAAACAAAAACACGGTTTGAAATCGCTGGTGTTTCTGACGTCACAAACGACCTTGTAACCAATCAGATCAACGTGTGATCATCAACCAGTGGATCTCCACTCAGTGAGTGGCACATTTGCATATTCATAGAACCACGCATACTAAATGGGGCAAGGGTGTCAAGTTACATTCAATATATTTTAAGAGATATGTCATTTTGGTTTCAAATTTTGACATTTTAAGGACTAAAATTATCGGGGGGGGGCTTTAAAAATACCGATATTCAATAGCAAATTTGATACTGCAGGGAAAATACTTTATATTTATATTTTTCATTCGGATTTGCATTGGATTTGTCGTGGAGTGAGGCGATTTATAAATTTTGTTTTATTTGTCAATATTTTACATTATTTCTGAATATAATGAAATGCGACGTACACCAATGAAACTTATCTGTGTTTTTTTTTAATTTTCTCTGGTAACACTTTAATTTAAGGTGTCGTTGTTACAGTGTAATTATATACAAGTACTGAGTGAGATTAATTAACTATATGTACTTGGGTTAGGCTTTGACTAGGGTTGGGCATCGTTTGAATTTGAACGATTCTGATTCCGATTCCTTGTTTCGATTCCGGTTCCTAACGATTCTCGATTCCGATTCTTTTAAGAGGCAGGGTCAAAAAAGTTTGGCTAACCTTGCTAACCAACGGCGTTTCTGAAGGAAATAATCCTTTCTGAAGGAAATACTCCTTCTGTAAAAATACTCCTTTTGTCACAAATTTTGCATTTTGCCGAGATTTCGTTATTTTTAGAAAAGTGAAGCCACACTTTGGATCGCCGACGTAAGGTACTCATGTTCAACTCGCGTGGTTATGCCAACATTTCTGGTAGACGCTTCTTCGTTGGTGTTGTTCAGCGGTTTCTTCTTCCGCTCGGCGGACTGTGAATATCGAAACTAGAATCGAAATTTTAACTTTTGAACGATTCCGGGAAAAACGAAAAGTTAGTCTCGGTTCCAATCGATACTCGATTCTCGATACCCAACCCTAGCTTTGATTGAGGGTTAGTTGCATGTAATTATGCATAATTTACTGTTATTACTATGGTAAGTACATGTAACAAGGACACAATAAATAAAGTGTTACGTTCTCTCGAAGTTAACCAGGTGCATCTTATTTTCCAGAAAATACAGTATTTGCACATATTTGCATTGATTTAGCAAATTAATTTGCAAATCAGGTAACACTGCAAATACACCCACAAAACTGGCATGCTTGATTGCTTAGCTTGCTTTGTGTGTAGTTCAGGTGATGAATTACTGCTATTGTTATAGGATATAATTCACTTAATGTGGCCAAAATGTACTTTTCAACAGTGCAACGATAATGGTATGGGACCAATATAGTGCTGATTTTGGCGAAGATCCTATAAAAAGCCTAATTTACATAGAAAAGCATGTGTACACTGCAAAGAATGCCAATGGCCTCATTTAAATGCGCATGGCATGACACTGCACCTTGAAACACTGCACGTTGAAGTGCAGTGATGAATTAGCATTGTCCCCCACCATTAGGCAAATTGTGTTTTCATTGTCATCAATGCTAGAATGATCAGTGAAGGTCTTTTTTAGGGTTCAGTTCACATGAAATGGTCGCTGTCATGAAAATACGTGGTGAAAACTGAATTTTAAAGGAATGGAATATTAGAAAAATCCTCCAACTTTACCCCCAGGTTCCAGCTGTTGAAGCGAGCCTCAAAGTCACTATCATCAGAGGAGACGAGCCTCCTGTGAGCCTCCGCCTGGAGGAGAAAAACACAGTGAGGAACAAAGACACGGAAAACCATGTCCAGGGATGGAGATTCACTGGGTTTAAAACTAAACCTGCTAGACAAGGGCGGAGATTACGAAAGCTTACAAAGCTTCAGCTCATGATAATAACATTATAATCTAACATTCCTCAATCAGTAACATATATGATGTGACCTTTGAACCAGTTTAATCCACTATTTTTATCATTTGGATTTGGAAGAACATATTGACTATTCATTGTAAGCTCTGAAATATACTGTATGAATTAAAAGCGAAATTTGAAAAATAAAACAAAACTGTTATAAAAACAAAACATTAGTGATGCGTGATGTATCGACTGATATACAGTATGTTAATTTTCATCGGCCTGATACAAAACTGTGTCTGATATACTGTATTAAAGTCGATACATGTGTTATTTCCTTCAGCTGAGACACTTCAGATGCTCATGTTCAACATGATGGTTTTGAATTGCTTGGAATATGACTGAAATCATTTCAAAAAAGGAAAATACAGTAAAGTGCAACAGTCTGTCATATCGGCTACATAAAATTATCATGAGAACATTATAATTGTGTGTTTAGGACATGTATTTTAACGGTGAGACTTTTGTTTTTGTAATCAGGCTCTCGAAAATGATATAAAATTTTGATTTAGAATTATCGACCGATATATCGGTTATCGGCTTTCAAATATAATGGGTTATCGGACAAAATATTCATATCGGTGCATCCCTACTAAACATTTAGTTATGTATATTGTCACAAATTTGATAAATATTAAAATATTTATAGTTGTTTGATATAGAAACGGACATACTCTCCTCGTGGCATGACATGTTTGACTCGAAATATGATTGGAATCACTTCAAAAAAACATAAATAAAGTAAAGTGCAACAGTTTCTCATTAAAGGTACAAACAATTATCATAAGAACAATATAATTGTGTGTTTAGGACATGGATTTTATTGGTGAGTCTTTTGTTTTTGTAATCAGGCTCTCGGAAATGATATAAAATTTTGATTTAGATTTATCGGCCGATATATCGGTTATCCGCTTTCAAATATAATGGGTTATCGGACAAAATATTCATATCGGTGCATCCCTACTAAACATTTAGTTACGTATATTGTCACAAATTTAATTAATATTAAAATATTTATAGATGTTTGTTATAGAAACGGACATACTCTCCTCGTGGCATGACATGTTTGACTCGAGATATGATTGGAATCATTTCAAAAAACAAAAATACAGTAAAGTGCAACAGTCTCTCATTAAAGGTAGATAAAATTATCATAAGAACATTATAATTGTGTGTGTAGGACATGGATTTTATTGGTGAGACTTTTGCTTTTGTAATCAGGCTCTCGAAAATGATATAAAATTTTGATTTAGATTTATCGGCCGATATATCGGTTATCGGCTTTCAAATATAATGGGTTATCGGACAAAATATTCATATCGGTGCATCCCTACTAAACATTTAGTTATGTATATTGTCACAAATTTAATAAATATTAAAATATTTATAGTTGTTTGATATACAAACGGACATACTCTCCTCGTGGCATGACATGTTTGACTCGAGACATGATTGGAATCACTTCAAAAAAACATAAATAAAGTAAAGTGCAACAGTTTCTCATTAAAGGTACAAACAATTATCATAAGAACAATATAATTGTGTGTTTAGGACATGGATTTTATTGGTGAGTCTTTTGTTTTTGTAATCAGGCTCTCGGAAATGATATAAAATTTTGATTTAGATTTATCGGCCGATATATCGGTTATCCGCTTTCAAATATAATGGGTTATCGGACAAAATATTCATATCGGTGCATCCCTACTAAACATTTAGTTACGTATATTGTCACAAATTTAATTAATATTAAAATATTTATAGATGTTTGTTATAGAAACGGACATACTCTCCTCGTGGCATGACATGTTTGACTCGAAATATGATTGGAATCATTTCAAAAAACGAAAATACAGTAAAGTGCAACAGTCTCTCATTAAAGGTACATAAAATTATCATAAGAACATTATAATTGTATGTGTAGAGGACATGGATTTTATTGGTGAGACTTGTTTTTGTAATCAGGCTCTCGAAAATGATATAAAATTTTGATTTAGATTCATCGGCCGATATATCGGTTATCGGCTTTCAAATATAATGGGTTATCGGACAAAATATTCATGTCGGTGCATCCCTACTAAACATTTAGTTATTTATATTGTCACAAATTGAATAAATATTAAAATATTTATAGATGTTTGTTATAGAAAAGGACATACTCTCCTCGTGGCATGACATGTTTGACTCGAGACATGATTGGAATCACTTCAAAAAAACGAAAATACAGTAAAGTGAAACAGTCTCTCATTAAAGGTAGATAAAATTATCATTAGAACATTATAATTGTGTGTTTAGGACATGGATTTTATTGGTGAGACTTTTTTTTGTAATCAGGCTCTCGAAAATGATATAAAATTTTGATTTAGATTTATCGGCCGATATATCGGTTATCCGCTTTCAAATATAATGGGTTATCGGACAAAATATTCATATCGGTGCATCCCTACTAAACATTTAGTTATGTATATTGTCACAAATTGAATAAATATTAAAATATTTATAGATGTTTGATATAGAAACGGACATACTCTCCTCGTGGCATGACATGTTTGACTCGAGACATGATTGGAATCACTTCAAAAAAACGAAAATACAGTAAAGTGAAACAGTCTCTCATTAAAGGTACATAAAATTATCATAAGAACATTATAATTGTGTGTTTAGGACATGGATTTTATTGGTGAGACTTTTTTTTGTAATCAGGCTCTCGAAAATGATATAAAATTTTGATTTAGATTTATCGGCCGATATATCGGTTATCCGCTTTCAAATATAATGGGTTATCGGACAAAATATTCATATCGGTGCATCCCTACTAAACATTTAGTTATGTATATTGTCACAAATTGAATAAATATTAAAATATTTATAGATGTTTGATATAGAAACGGACATACTCTCCTCGTGGCATGACATGTTTGACTCGAGACATGATTGGAATCACTTCAAAAAAACGAAAATACAGTAAAGTGAAACAGTCTCTCATTAAAGGTAGATAAAATTATCATTATTTAGAACATTATAATTGTGTGTTTAGGACATGGATTTTATTGGAGAGACTTTTGCTTTTGTAATCAGGCTCTCGAAAATGATATAAAATTTTGATTTAGATTTATGGGCCGATATATCGGTTATAGGCTTTCAAATATAATGGGTTATCGGACAAAATATTCATATCGGTGCATCCCTACTAAACATTTAGTTATGTATATTGTCACAAATTGAATAAATATTAAAATATTTATAGATGTTTGTTATAGAAACGGACATACTCTCCTCGTGGCAAGACATGTTTGACTCGAAATATGATTGGAATCATTTCAAAAAACGAAAATACAGGAAAGTGCAACAGTCTCTCATTAAAGGTACATCAAATTATCATAAGAACATTATAATTGTGCGTGTGGGACATGGATTTTATTGGTAAGACTTTTGTTTTTGTAATCAGGCTCTCGAAAATAATATAAAATTTTGATTTAGATTTATCGGCCGATATATCGGTTATAGGCTTTCAAATATAATGGGTTATCGGACAAAATATTCATATCGGTGCATCCCTACTAAACATTTAGTTATGTATATTGTCACAAATTGAATAAATATTAAAATATTTATAGATGTTTAATATAGAAAAGGACATACTCTCCCCGTGGCATGACATGTTTATATAATTGGAATCACTTCAAAAAAAGTGCAACAGTCTCTCATTAAAGGTACATAAAATTATCATAAGAACATTATAATTGTGCGTGTGGGACATGGATTTTATTGGTAAGACTTTTGTTTTTGTAATCAGGCTCTCGAAAATAATATAAAATTTTGATTTAGATTTATCGGCAGATATATCGGTTATCGGCTTTCAAATATAATGAGTTATCGGACAACATATTCATATCGGTGCATCCCTAATAAACACTAAGTTATGTATATTGTCACAAATTAAATAAATATTAAAATATTTATAGATGTTTAATATAGAAAAGGACATACTCTCCCCGTGGCATGACATGTTTATATAATTGGAATCACTTCAAAAAAAGTGCAACAGTCTCTCATTAAAGGTACATCAAATTATCATGAGAACATTATAATTGTGTGTTTGGGACATGGATTTTAATGGTGAGACTTTTATTTTTGTAATCAGGCTCTCAAAAATTATAACAAAATTTGTATTAAGAATTATCGGTATCAGACAAAATTTTATTTCGGGTGCATCCCTACTAAACATTAAGCATATTGCATATATATATTGTCAAAAACTAAATAAATGTTAAAATGTTTATAGAAATGGACATTCTCTCCTTGTGGCACACCAGATGTTTGACTGTTCCACATCATTTCTGCTTTCACATCTGTAAATTCCTGCGGAGGGTCACATGACGTCCCGCCCCTCTTTGTTTCGAGGCACTGCTCTTTTTATCAGGATAATCCAGCTCTTTAAAGAGCTCTATATAATTTGGAAGTTTCCAGGGAACTGTTGTTCCAAGTTCACTTTCCTGAGCTTTGGCTCGTGAGGAAAAAGAAAGGCAAGGAAATGTCCAATAAAGCTTAAGTCTAATGGATACTGTTGAAGCGTAATAGGCGGATAGTTCACATTGAGCAAACAACTCACATTACAGGAAGGTGTCTGAACCCAAATACCTGATAAAAACCAGGACACATGGGAACAATCCTGGTTATAACCCACAGATATAGAAGTTTTGTTGGTTTGAAAGGTCATGGTGATTCTGTGTGGCCGATCGGTGAAGAAACTCCTGTGAGGTCTACAGCGTTGTGTTTTTGTGGTCATGTTGGTTTCAATGTTTTATTGACGGAAGTTCAAGCTGAGAGGCCAGATCTTGGATAAGTTGAAATCCTAACACTCACCATCTTTGCATCGTCCTTGATATCGTGTTTGACGGGACTCGAGGACAAGGGTCTAGCCGGCGTCTTATCGCTGAGCAAGTTCCTGAGGAGCACAAAAGATTTCAGATGCTCATTCTCAACTCATTTTTAAAGGGGTGGTTGATTATGAAGCTTTAGTTAGTGTGTAATGTTGCTGTTTGGGCATAAACAACATCTGCAAAGTTACAACGCTCAAAGATCAATTTGCTTTTACAGAAATGGCTTTTTAAGGACTACAACAAACGGATGGTAGGAACTACAATGAGCTTTTTCACATGTTAGTGACATCATAAACCCTAAAATTTACATAAACCCCGCCCTCGGTACACGATTTATAGATTATCATGACAGAATATGCTAATCAATTACTTGAAGATAGCTAACTCCACATCAGCTTCATAAATTCACCAACTATCCATTCAGAAACGTCCTGAGTCTCTCCAACTTTCTGACTCCGGTTTGAACATAAAAGGTTAAAAGTTTTTTACATTTTCAGTGTGTGACTGTGTGAAGTAATACAAGATGCTAACACACACACACAAACTGTTGAAGCTCCGCCCCCTGTGCCGGGAGCAGCCGCTCATTTGCATTTAAAGGGACACACACAAAAACAGTGCTATTTTAACATGCTATATAAAAATATCTGTGGGGTATTTGAGCTAAAACTTCACATACACACTCTTGGGACATCAGAGACTTATTTTACATCTGGTGAACGGGCATTATAGGACCCTAAACTTCAACCTGTATCAATGCACAATCACATAAAAGCAAACATTTGGAAATCCACATGCACAGATGCTTTAGCCTTTTCCACGTTGACTGTGTTTAACACATTCGTGCAGGGAAGCATTGCATCATCTTTAACACATGGTTCATGTTCCCAGTCTAAAGCAACAGCAGACTTGCCAACACTCATGCCTGTCGGGGGCATTTATTACATATCATTTCCAGTCGACTGATATTTATGATCTCTTTCTCTGCTCAGATAATTCCAGTTTGATCGGTTACGCCGGGGCCACCAACGACAACTTCAAAGCCGAGACTCGTCTGACTAGATGTCGCTGATTTCAACAGCCATGACACATTTGTTTCACGGGCAAATTAGGAACGTGTTCTCGAGCTAATTATGAATGCTTAACGCAAATCTCAACTAATTAAACAAATCCCCCGTTAGTCAAATGATGAAGAGAGGGAGGATGTGATGACTATATGAGAGTCTCGACAAGAACGCATTCGCCCTCTTTCTTCTATGGTTTCCTTTGCGCTAACTATTAAGCTCTAGCCTAAAATACACATCAAAAGGCAATTTTTATTTTGCTGTCAATCACACAACCTACGATTATTTATATGCTTATGCTTTTAAGTGTGCGATAAAAACACGTGTCATTAACGTGTCATAAATCTAAAATCTGTAATGAACTGAATTCTGATGCAATTTCACCCAAGTTTGTCTCTTCAGGACAAGTATATGATGATCGGCCTTAGCAGAGAAAAAGATCAATTCAAGTTTTGCCAAATATTGGATTTTTGGCCAAATTTACACGTTTCCATTGGGCATATTTTCATTTTGGGCAATTTGAAGCTAAATGAAAACGTGGCTAATGACATAAGCTGTAGTGCCAGATGGGGGAACAATATATGTGTGTGTATGTGAGTGTGTGTACACTACATCAAAGCACAGATCTAAAAGGGCACAGCAGTTAAATCTGCTGGCCTGCACACACACACACACACAGTCCACCTCGGCTCTGAGCTGTCAGACGTTGTGATTGGCGGCTGGCCGTTAACAGGTGGATGGGGATAATTGAATGAGATGAGAGTGAGGGATGAAAGAGATGTGTGTATGTGTGGAGGTGCTGCTGATTAAAGCCCGTGTCTTGACCCGCAGCTGCTCACAACGGCCTCATACACACCACTTACACACACAAGGCCAAAGCATTCATGAGTGCTTGACTCAAACCTTGGACTCGGGAACACATCTGATGTCTCTTATGGTCGGAGACTCTGGCTAATGTTTCACATGAAACCAAGACGGACAGAGAGGGATGAAACATGAGGAAACTAAGACTCCTCGGTCTTTAGATGATCTGAACATGGGAGTGGTCACGTGTGTGTTGCTGTGTGGTGGACAGTCTCAAAAACACGCTTTGAAATCGCTGTAACCAATCAGATCAACGTGTGATCGTCAACCAGTGGATCTCTGAGTGAGTGGAGGCGGGGCTCGTTTGCATATTCATAAAACCACATATACTAAATCAGGCGAGGGTGTCGATTTACATTCAAGGTATGTTAAGGCATTTAAGGAGAAAAAAAAACGTTTAAATATGTCATTTTGGTGATCAAAGATGACTTTTAAAGGATAAATGATAAAAAGATATTTTCAGTATTGTGGTCAAATTATGACAAAGCTACTTAACATTTTTTTTTTTATAATAATTACCAAAATTTCAAAGTATTGACAGATTTAACAATTCAATTTTGTGATTCCAGGAATAAAAAAGAAATTAAAGCTGCAAGCAGCATTTATCGGTGTTCAAGCAGTTCAGACCTTTAAGGCCTTTAAGCACAAAAGCATCAAAAGGCATTCAGTTTTACATAACACACATTTATCCACTGACATAATAGATGGAAAACACCATTTACAGCCAATATAGGCAATTTGCCATTGGAAATACATGGTTTTAAAGCTTTTTAACAGTTATAGCGCCACCTATGGTCCGATCTCCATGAAACTGTGCATGCTCCATAGCAACCGAAAATCGAAATTTCCACTTTTTTTTCCAATAATTATTGATATTCAGACTCCAGAGAACATTTCTGCACTTGTTTGGTTCCGATAAGGGCAAAAAAACAGGGACTAGTTCGCAAAAGTAATTTTTCAACATAATTCAAAATGGCGGAAAAATTTGCATACCGGAAATGAAACCGGAGATTTTGTGAACTTTTTGGGCGAGATTTAGGGGCTTTTGACTGAATTTTGCCACAGACCACTATCTACCATCTGACAAAGTTTCACAGCTCCAGCCCTTTGGTTTGGGCTGCACGATGCATTTTAGGGGATTTTTTCTTTCTTTCTAGCAAATACAATAGGTTTTCAGCACTTCGTGCTTGAACACCTAATTATGAGAGACCTTTTTGACGATTATGGCGCCACCTATGATCCGATTCTCACGAAACTTTGCATGCTTCCTAACCATGTTAGGACACATATGTGAAAGGGGGGGGGGGGGGGCAAACACCACTAATGATCTGAAGTCCACACATTCACCCATAACTGCAAACACATCAACTGACATCTCTAACTGTTCTCAGATCTGTTCCTCTCTAAACTCAGCTGACAAAACTGAGGGAAGAGCGCCATCAGATGGACAAACATGGAACTGGTAACAGTGTCATAATGGCTTCATGAAGACCCTTGAACATTTCCATTCAACAGAAGGTCCGTTATAGTGGAGAAAGACTCTTTGGGTTACACTAAGAAAACATTCTTTTTTTTTATGGCATCCCTGTGAAAAAACCCTTTTTGAACCTTTATTTTTATGTCAATTGAAGACTAAAAACTACAAGTGAAAAGCGTCAAAATATGAACTAATAGATATAACCACATTCCACACTCAATTAATCACACATTAACATGTATTACAAGCTTATCACTCTTAGAAGAAATGGTTCTATTTAGAACCAGGAATGGTTCCATCCCCCCTTTTCATATATGGAACTCCAAAATGGTTCTATATAGAACCATTTTTTTTTTTTTGGTAAAAGGTTCTATTGGCCAAGTATGGAACCCCAGGGTTCTATATAGAACCCAGAGGAACCCTTTTTTAAGAGTGTATAGAACCTTTTAGGGGTTCCAAATATGTAGCGCTGATAGAACCTTTTAAGGTTCTATATAGAACCTTTTCTTCTAAGAGTGAGAGGGTATGCGCGGCCTGCAGTTTCTCACAATGAGTGGCAAAAAGACTGAGCGGCTGTATGTTTTTAGCTTGAATGCCGCAAAAACAAACACAACACATATAAAGTGGGAAAGAGCTTTGCGATTGACAAAACAACTAGATTTGACCAAAAATATTGAGGACGTATATTTTTACAGACTGCTATAGAAAAAGGAGCAAATCGATCGAAACAACTGGACTCCGGTGGATCTGCAGTTATCAATTTGTGTCAATTTAGGTGGAAAACCATACCCATATATTTTGTATTGTTATATAATAACTCATCAATTATATATTTATCATTGCATATTCTGCATTATTGGATGTTTTTTAATAAACACTGACCAAAAAAAACTCTAAAGTTGTAGGGCTGGATGATATGATGATATATATAGGCTATATTTAACACTGATATGAGTGATAACCTGGATTTAGACCGACCTATATTGTATTTATATAAAGCGTTCACAGGCAAATTTGCTTTATGTTTAGGTCTATATTGCTTTTATTTCCCCGGTGTTGAAATCATCTCCTGGCTGCATGTCAATATCCATGGATCACTGGATCTTTAGTAAGTTGTAAGGAACACTATATTGAGTCCAACATTTAGTTTAAATTGATAAAATTGTTTGTTTTAGTCGCAGTTTCCCCTATCAAATCCAGTCATATTAGAAGTTATCTACACTGAACAAAATTATAAACGCAACACTTTTGTTCTTGCCCCCATTTTTCATGAGCCGAACTCAAAGATATACGACTTTTCTATGTTCACAAAAGAGATCCATCCATCTCACAGGTGTGGCGTATCAAGATGACGATTAGACAGCATGGTTATTGCACAGGTGTGCCTTAGGCTGTCCACAATGAAAGATAGCCAATCAAACATATGTAGTTTCATCATATTTTTTAGTGCGATTATGTCACGGTATACAGATCCAATGTTTCCTTCTTGTCTCGTGCTTGTGTTGTGGTATGAAAGCACATGTACTGTGGGCGTGAATGTTGTCATTCCTTAATCCGCTCCAGCTGATCATCATTAATCAACACCAGCTGCAGCTCATCCCCACACTGCTTAAATACTCACCTCATTCTCACTTCCTTGCCAGATCGTTGTTTGATGTCCTGG